ATGGACTAAGTGATCATCATAAGCAATGAGGAAAAGAATGAAAATGTGTTTTAAATCAAAGGAATGACGAATCAAAGGTTGAATTTCATGAAAGATGATAAACATTCCTAAAACCTTTTGAATTCTGCAGCGGAGACAAACGTGATTTAATGTAACTCACGGATAGAAGTGATTAACAAAACGAGAGGTAGGGTGTATATTTATGTGTCAACAGATGGCCTCAAGGATGACAACTGTGATATCGGTAATCCTGCCAATGAACTCTCAGCGTGAGCATTTAGAGGCGGTACGTTTCATGGCCTCATCTTAACAATCACTGTCGTATTGGAAGATGATTCCATTTTCCAGCTGTCAAGTAGATCACAGAATGCACTTGCCGAGTTTAGTTTCGAAACTGTCTGTGCAATTCACAGCAAGCGTGGAGGATTATTCGAATTTGATAAACATTAAGCAAGTATTGGTTTAATACTGAAAAACTGAATTTACGGTGCTGCACCAGCGAAACTTTAGTTTCTAATGGCTTTATTCATTCCATCTATTTTCATCGTCCTCAATTTCTTAGGAGTCTCGAAAGCAGCATTATCAGAATGTTTACTTCACAGCACCAGTCCTCTGCCAAGCAAACAAATTTTATATTTATATTCGTTATTCGATACGGTCTGCCTTGTCATGCATCTCCTCCTGGCCCGGACACCACATAGCGTATTGATCAGGTATACAAACTATTGCACTCGTGGTCTTTCGATATGGAGACATTAAAGCTGGCCACTGAGTAACACAGTACAGTAATGTTCCAAGCAAATAGATCCTCGTTACATTTTGCAGCTTTAGAATAACTAACTCAGTCAGTTTTATCCTCCATTGCCAACAGAATTGGACATTTCCATTTTGCACTGAATATTTGGTAAATATTATAATACGCCAGTAACACCATTTTTCTTTAACCCATAAGATTGACAGTGTGACTGTAGAGGTACCTTATTAATCACTAAGTCTTTGAACTCACACAAATGCTACTAACAATCGATTTTAAAGACTATTCTTCTTAA